GCACAGCTTCCCCATGTTTTTTGAAGAGGAAAGTACATTTATTTATTGCACTTTAAGGGAGAGATAGTATCTCTCAGCCAATTCCCTAAAACAGCCCTGCTGTCCTAAGGCACTTACCGAGTATTGCTCTGCTCAGCTAATATATTACTATATAAAAAGGGAACAAATGACCTTAAAATTCGGACATCTGTCTCTGATGGGTTTCTCTGTGGTTCTCAGAAAGAAGTAACAGAGACAGACCTCCCTCAGGCCTGTGCAGAAAGCAGGAGCTATTCTGGCTGTCCTGCTGCTCCTGCCAAAAATCTTTGGCTGGAACAATGCCTGAGCATCTCTGTGTCAGCACAGGGAGAGGTGCCCTCTGTGAGGACCTGACCCAAAGGCATGTTCTTCTTCATGACTTTGTGGACTCAGGACTTGCCCCCCTCCCTGGGCTGTGCCCCCCGTGAGGCTTTGGGACACGGTCACAGCACCTGGTGGGAGGCCAGTGATGGCTCCCAGGTACCCCTGTGCTCACACCCAGCTCACCTGGCTTTGAACAAAGTGAGTACCCCCAGGTCCCTGCAGGCACTTCCCTTTTGGTGGGGGATGCTGAGGGCTCTGAGCCTGAGCGATGCACCAAGTTTCTGGCTCTTGGAGGTGAAGGATATCAGTCCTGAGGCAGCACACTGGCTGCGTGTGGCTGTGTCTGGTCACCATGCTGTGCCACAGCCGGACCCTCCAGTCTCAGGCTGAGCATCTGCCAGTGTCATCCCCGTGGCAGGGCCCCGAGGCCAGTGGGCACATGCTGAGCCACAGCCTGTGGCCTGAGCTGCTGAAGGCAGCAGTAACCCCTCTGTCCTTCTGATCTCCCCCCACCCTTCCTCTCCATGTTGCAGGTGATCAAAAACGGGCAACAAACGAGCAGTCAGCATTTGTGCTTGAGATGTATTTAAAAAGGTTAAAGCAAAACAGATCAAAACATCCTTTATTCTACAGCCTTTTCCCCAAAGTAACACGTTAGCCCTAAGGTAAAAATCAATGTTCAAAGCCTGTACCAATTTTCAGAGAGATAAATGCTGTGTTTAACACTTTGTGTTCTCGGTGTGCTGAGGTGCTGCCAGTGGTTCCCAGTTAATGTCTTTGTACTGGTGAGGAGGTTCTGCATATTGAGGAGAGAAAGAGCTAAACCAGGCACTTATGAGAACTCCTTTCACAGCATTTCACACTGAATGACTTTAGAGGATGCCGACACTCTGGGTTTGTCAGCCACATCTCCCCGGGACAAATGCAGGAATTGAGCTTCCATGCCAAATCAAGACACCACGTCCCTGAAGATGTGCCAAGCATGCACAGCCCAGCCCCCACATCCCACTGTAAGAGCCTCACTGGGAGCAGCACGGTGCTGGGACATCGCCGAAACCAAGCACGTTCCAGTTTTGACGACCTTCTCAAGTCTTTAAACTCAGGAAAACAGGCAGCACCTCGCTCAGGCTTGTAAGGAAAAGATTGGGTTTGTCCATGGGAGCCTTTCAGTGTTTATGAAAGGTCAGTGGGGGATGTGAAACTCACCATGGAACCACAGTGGTTTGTTCAATTTACAAGCATCATTCGTTTCAGTGCAACCAGAAAGTTATTCAGGTCCCTGCCTGCAGCCCTGGCCGCTCTCACCAGAGGCTGGGGCTGGCTCAGAGCATCAATGTCAGCCCGCACCGGTGGGTCGCGATGCCCCGGCAGAAGATGAGAGATGCCAACAAGGCTTCTCATTAGCCCACAGCAGTTTAATTGCTCGTTGCATGGATATCTCCTTAGAGAGAGGACAAGGGGCATGGATTCTTGCTGCTTCTTTCTAAGCAAATACCAGGGATCTAATTCCTAAATTTTCAGATGTTTTTCTGATTAGAGACTGTCCCAAGTGCCAGGGAAAAGTCTGCAGTGGAGCAGAGGTTCAGGTGCCTCGTTGATCCTTGCTCTCCACAGTGATCCTGGCAGCGATCCTTGCTTCCCATCCCTGCAGAGCTGCTGCTGCTCCTGCAGGCACTGGCTCCTTCCACACAGAAAGATGTGGCTGATCAAACATGAAGCAATAAAAAATTCCTTCAGCCCACTAACACCTTCCCCAGTCAGCTGGACATTTTCTGAGCTAAAAGGGCTTTTTTCTTCCTTGATGGATCCCTAGAACAATAATTGAACGATTTGCTGTAATAAAAAGTTAAATTGCATAAAATTAATATTGATCCAAATTAAACCATTTGTCTCCCTTCCCTTTTCGGCTCCACAAACACGATTATTGCTTTGGCTGTTACAAACCAAATACAATCACAAGCTGCAATCACAGCTTGTTTTCTGCCCTTTGCTCCCCCTCCCCAGCTCCCTTCTCTTGCAGGAGACAAGGCAGCACCTGGGCCAGCACTTTTTGGATCTTCCTGAGCACCAGGATGCCTTTCTGGCCCTGGCCAGGCTGTGGCACCTGCTCCAGCCTCTAATGTTTGCAGGAGGGACCACAGTGGACAAGGAAGGAGGAAATACCCCACTGACGGACTTCAGAGCCAGTTCCCTCCTGTTTTCTCTTCCCGTCCATCATTTTCTCATGGCACTAATTGGAAAGGAAGGAAGGAGCTATAAATACCTCTGGAAATTAAAAGGAGCATGTATAGTCTTGGCAGAGAGGGAGAATACCTGGAGGGTCTCAGCTCCTCTCCCCTACACCTACTGGAAAGTGTTTGAAATTTTTCATTTGTCTCCTCTGGGATTACAGGCAAAACAATATTTGACAGCCCAGGAAAACTGTGGTTTCTATGGAGCCAGGGATGAAAATCTGGCTCAGAGTAAAGCAGGCACGGGAAAACAAGGTCTTAAAAATGAGTGAGCCTCTGCAGTGGGGTGTGAGAAAAGATGCCCCCACTGCCTGCAGTGAACCTCAGAGCAGGAATATGGTAACCAAACCACACCTGGTTGGAGCTGGTGAGTGCAGCCAGATTCCCAATGTCCACCTGCAGGTGGACACAGCACCGGAATTCCCAGCATCCACAGCACCACAGAGAATTCCCACAGCACTGCCCAGACAAACTCTGGGTTCCCTGGAAAACCCCCTGGCTGCCATCCCCATCCTCAGGAGCAGCTCAAGGCAGCAGCCTCGCCATCAAAACCTTCTCTCCACTGGCCAGGGAGCTGCTGCTCAGTGGCTCTGGGACATCACTGCTGGAAGCAGAATTTGCTGGGGCAGAGTGAAGCAAAAGGAAATCCAGGCTTGCCTGGGTAGGAAACACATTTTTGCTGCTTCTGGGCTTGTTCCAGAGCAAGTCCCTGAGTGCAGGGCTGCTTGCCAGGTTCAGACCCCAGTATGGGAGGGAGAGAAAGTTCATGGGACTAAAGAGGTTTCAAACCAAACACTCCTGGCTCAGAGAAGCAGGGCTGTTCCTGCAGAGCTATTCCAAACTAGCTCCAGTGCCAAACAGGTTTATTCTATAAACTTTGCAGATGCTGAGGCAGGGCACAGTGACTGAAATAGCTCTCAGTGGGCAGGTTTAGGGCTAAGCTGCCATGTAAAACTCCAAACAAATATTCGAGGTGAGCAGCTGGGGCCAAACTCTGCCAGAACTCAACCCAGAGCATCACGCAGGACCAGGGACAGCTCCCGACTACAGTTCCTGTGGTGTGCTGGATTTACCAGGACCAGGGAGGAAGGAAAGGGAAAGGCAATTGTACATCCAGCTCAACCCTGGACTGTTCTTTCACCACGTTCAGCTGAGCTTTACCGTGTGTAATTTAAAGTGCTGTTCCATGTGGGAAACTCGTAAAACAACACGATCCATATTTATTAACTCTTGATGATTCCGACTGAAGTCTTCCCATTTGGTGAGATTAAGTGGAGGGAGAAAAGGCTTGTGCTGCTGTGCCAGCTCTGCCAGAGGGTTGCACATGGGTCTGCAGACTGGCCATGCTTGCTGTTCTGCTTGGCCACCTGCACAAGGAAGAGTCTGCAGAAGACACTGCCCTTGCCAACATCAGCCTCCTGCCCCTTATCTCCCACTCCTTCCCCTCCAGGAAAACACAAGCCAGCAACTCACAAAGCCTTGGAGAAAGGCTTTTGAGCTGCTAGGTAGATCCCAGCAGCTTAATCTGTCCTGTTCCCTGGGAATCCACCCTGAGCAGCTGCCCCAGTCGTCCCTGCGCCTCGCAGCCTCTCTCCAGCCGAGCTCTGCTCCTGCCTATTCTCTGATGCCTTGTTGTCCTCCAAAGTGAACATGAATTGCTGCCAGCTCAAATTAGCATCTTCTCACACTTGGCCAACCGAGCTGCTGAAGGAGGAGAGGGAGTCGGGATCATCCAGCCTTTGGAGTGGGTTCATCTCCTGTTACACACTGCCTGATTGCCGAATGGTTGAGGCAGCCTTTGGAAATTGGGTCTGTCCGTCTCCTCTCAGGTGGGAACCCAGCTCTTCCCGGAGAAGCCATGGAGCAAACCTCTTGCACAGGGATCTCAGACAGGGCTCTGAGGAGATGAAACTTTGTACACAGGACAGAGAAGCAGCAGCAGTTGCACCAAAGGTACCAAGGGCAGGGTTTCAGCAGGAGATGCCAAGGATGGTTATAAAACTGCAAACCAACCAACCAAACCAATCTACAAAAACAATCTGGCCCCAGAAACAGCTCAGTGATCTGGCTGCAGCAGCAGTCTCTGCAGAACATCCTGGAAATGCCTTGTGCGGGAGGTGGGGAAGGCGTGGGATCCCTATTGCATTTCTTCAGAAACGTAAACTCCAGGGACTGAGCTGGACGAAGAAAACCAATGGCTGTCACTGTCAGACATGAAATGATTCATACAGATGCAGCTCAAAGTGTGATGAAAGAAGAAGGAAGTTTATTTTGTTCTTTCAGTATTTATAGGTTTTCGACAACGACCAGGGATTGGATAGTCAAGTCACCACCTTCCCAATCACACTGGCCGTGAGAGACATCCATCAAAAGGCATATCTTTAATGGAATGTATAAACATCTATGTTTATAGTTATTTTCCTGGGAAAGTGGCTAGAAATTATGAAAACAGTATCAAAAAAACCTGATTCTCAAGGCGACAAATGGCCCCGGTGAAAGGTTATTTGACCGTGTGGGATTGATTGCTTTGGCTTCTAACTGCCACACATGACATCCCTCTGGAATGGCATTTGGCTTCTGCCAAAAAATGAGCAGAAAAAAACCCAGCTCAATCCAGATACTTTTGCCTGGTTGTTTTTGATTGTCCTCCCAGTCTGCTTGCAGACCCTGTGGAGGAGGGTAGGCTTTTTATTGACCAGATAGCTGTGGCTGTAATCTCTCTGAAAATGCACATTAAAGGAATTTTAAAATCGAGATTATCTCTGTGAGTAGTCCTTAATGACTTCTTTGCAGCTGTTACAATGCTTATGTAAATATTGCCAGTGAATATTTAAGGCTCTATTAAAGAGAAATTTACTGTGCTGTCCATAATTGAATCTCTACATAAATCCCATTGCACAGGTTGGCTCTCTGGAACACAACCACTGCCTCCCTCTTCAGCTCAGTGTCAGAATCCTCCCCTCCACAATTCTTATGGGATTGGGGATATGATGCGTGCAGCATCCTCAGAGAGACACAAGCCCCTGGAGGGGACCTGTCCCCCAACTCTAGCAACTTTAAAATCAAAATGTAAGAATTACGTTCAAGTAGGGGAAAAAGTTAAACTAGGAAGAAGTAACAAAATGAATTCAGTATAAAATAATATTGCAGGTGGGAACAATACACGTGTATGTATGCACAACTGCCATCAGCTCTTTTGTTCTGAAGCTGGAGGAGCATGAAAACAGAAATTCGTCTCCCATCCAAGCTCAAACCTGCCAGAAGTAGCTGAGACATGAGAAGAAGCTTTAGCATTTCTCTGAGCTCACGAAGAGAAAGCCAAATGAATTCAGATTCATCTGCACTTGAAAAGCCACTTCTCTGCAGGACTGGAGCAGCAGATGGATGGAGAACAGGAGCACCACAATATTCCAGAACATCTCCCACCACCCAGCATTGCAGTGCCCAGGGCAGGAGCTGAACCAGGAGCTGAGCCACAGAAATCCCAGCTTTCCCAGCAACACTGAGAGATCATTACAATAAACTGAGCAAGATGAAGTTCTCTGAACCAGATGGGCCTTTTCTTCTCCTTCTCCATTACCAGGTCTCAGTTTGCCCACACACACCTGCCCCTGTGGCAGAGGCATCCCCCAGTCTCAACCCACAGCCACACACCCCCAGGAGCTAAACAAGAAGAGGAAATCAAAGATCACAACTAGCTGAACCTTATTCTTCTTAATAATTATTATTATTGAACATTTACAAGCAAATATAGCATCAGGATCTTAGGAAGATTTAATGGAAAAAAATTAATTTTCCTAAACTAATGAAGTACTTGAGCTCCAGGGCAACAACTGCTAATGGTGCTTCTATCTCAGCTGAAGAGGCAAAAAAAATTGTGTTTAATAGTAATTTTAAATATAGATTTGAGGTTCTTTCCCATAAATCATGAAGTCAGATAAGGACTGTGCATAATAACTTGTCAGATTACATAAACAAAACTGATTTCAAATACTTTAAAAAACACTTTCATTCCATTTGCAAGGCTGCACACTTGCAAGGAGACTTCACATTTGCATGAGCCACCATGCACTTAACCCTTCACTCATGGTAACTCTTCCCATTTAACAGCACCAAACGTAGTCATCACAAGCCTTTAAAAAAAGAATTAAATTGCATGGACATGAATTTGTCCAGGGAGGCGTCCTGGCAGGTGTGCTCAAGCCATGTGCTCATGCCATGCAGGGGTGTTGGGCACCTGTGAGGAGCTGGAGGGGACTTGGTGTGACAGGAGCCCAGCCAGGCACCAGCCCAGGAGAACCTGGGGTCAAAAGCAGCCAAAACCTCTGTTGGTGGCTCAGGGCTGCTTCCCCTCAGACTTCCAGCCCCAGCAGCCTCCCAGTGCCTGCTCACAGGAGCTTTGTCCCTCCACCATGAGCCCTGCATGTCAGGAAAATGCAGCATCCATCAGTTTTATTCCCCATGTGCTGCCCTGAGACACCTCTCAGCTGCTGCTGTGCTGAGCTATTACTCTGAATGCAAGTAATGGCCCACGCTGCTCCACTCCTTTGCAACAGGTACTTTTTTAATGCCTCCCTCCCTGAATCCCTCTTCCCCCAAGGACCACAGCACTGCAGGCTGCCGCCTTACTGCAGTGGGACCTCATCAGCAGAGCAACCCCTGCAGGCTCAGCACCTCCAGGGCTTTCACTGAGGGAGCAAACACTCCTCTTTATTACACTGAAAATGTCCAGAGGATCATTAACATCCTCCCTGAACCTCTTCTCCCTTCAGTAAAAGGATGATAGGGGGAAAAAGCCTCACTGATAAAAGCTGAACTAGCACTTGAGGCTCTGTAGACAAATATTGGGGGATTTGTACCACGAGCCCTCCAAATTCACCATCTTCTGGTTTTGGACCATCCCTAAATGCCCGCTGCCAGGACAACCATCCATCCACTGCTTGAGGGCCTGTTGGTTACCATGAGTTACCACCAGTTTGTGTTGAACTGAACATTCCTATGAGGGAATGACGGGTTGAACCAGTGGCTTACACTGAACCCTCTGTCCCTGGCCAAAGAGCCCATGCATGGAGGGAGCAGGGCCACAGCTGCCAGCAGAACCACCTTCAGGTACCATTGGGAACTAGGACTCCTTGGGAAGCCCAGAAATGCTTCTCTTCTCCAGAACAACCAGAGGGACCAAATATCTCCATCCCAAATGCCCTGCCCTGTTCAGTGCTTTATAAACTTTTTATCCAGCTGTAAAATTTCTAATTATCTGAGGTAACTAACCAACGTTGCATGAACTCAAACCGAGACTATTCCAGTCAAATACATAATTAAAAATTTCTGCTGTGCTGGTTCCTTCCCCCAGTTACATAAATTACTGTGCAGGGTACAGCACCACAGCTGGAACCCCAGCTTGGTGATCCTGCTAAATGCCAGGACCAGGAGGAATGGGCTGCACCCTGCCCTTGCCCCCCCACTGCAGCAGCACTGGCTCTCCTGGCCAGCATTCTCAACTCTCCCAGCCATCATTCCCTGCTCTCTTTGTCTGCACTTGCTTTGGAGAGCCACAGGCACTGTGAGCCCCAGGCTGCAGCCCAGGAGCAGGCTCAGCTGGCAGAGAGGGTGCCAGAATTAGAGCAAAGCACATCCTCAGCTCGCCCCTCCTCAGAATCCACTCTGGGAAACATTGCTCTGTGAGGAGCCAGCAGCAGCTGGAGACTGACAGTTTGGAAAGCCACAAAGAGCAGGAAGAAGCCGATGCTCCCAGCTTCTCCAGGCTACACATGTAGCTGCTGGGACTTCAGCGTTTGCATCTTACCGAGCATCGGGAAACTTCTGTGTCTCCTCAAGCTGTGCCAGAAAACCTGATATTCCTCCTAATGATTCACCTGCCTCCACACTGCATCAAAGACATCAAGTGGGTCTCATAGCAACTGCCAGATTAGCACTTCTCCATAAGCCAGGCTTATCACCAGGAGCGGGAGGGCTGGAAGGGAATGTGCACGATGCCAGCTGGGAAACAGGAGCAATTCCCCCCGGCTGCCTCGTACCTGCTAGGGATGAGCTGCCACTGAGCTCCTAGAAAGGACAAGCAGGGGCTGAGCCCCAGGAAGCACTGGCTCCTTACCTAGCTCTTAAATAACCTCTCCCCTGGCCTACTCAAGCCTGGGAGACTCCTGTCCCAAAGGCAGTTGCCTTCCTGCACACCTGCCTGTGAGAGGAGCTGACTTTCAGAGCTGACTTTCTGCTTTGGCTCAGCTGTCTCCAGCTGTAGCCTCTGGCACATCCATGTGTGCCGTGTTCAGGATCCCCTCGGCTTCTCACAGTCCATGTGAGCAGGGAGGGGGTCTGCAGCAGCCTCCTGTGCTTGTGTCCATGCTCCATGTGCACTTGTGTTTGATGTGGGAGTGCTGACAGTGGATGTCAGCCCCCTTCAGCTGCAGGAAGCATTTAGAGCCACAGATTCACAGGATGGTTTGGTTTGGGAGGGACCTTGACGTTCATTTTGTTCCAACTCCTTGCCATGGGCAGGGACACCTTCCACTAAACCAGGTTTTTCCACAGCTCCTTTTACTCCAAGGGTCCTACTGGAACAGCCCCAGCCCAGGCTGGCTGGCTGGAAGCGCTGGTGGCAGAGGGAGGCCAGCCATGCTAAGTGCTCCTGGCAGTGAAAACGCGGGTGGACAAGCACATCCAACTCCACTCCAAATCCATTTTACATCAAAGGCATTTGACTCTGCCTAATTTCAAAGGGCCATCCCGTCTCCCCAGTCCAACTGTAGGGCTTCCCAGGCTCAGCCCTAATCCTGCTGCTGCCCCAGCGCTGAGTGTGGGCCCTGCCTGTGGGTGCCACAAGTCCTGTCTCCTTGGCAGTACCGTGGCAAGAGGGGACGAGTCCAGAGCAGTCCAGACAATTTCTGTGGCTTTCTCGGAAAGGACTGTGGAAATTCTGTCCTTCAGGTCTCACTGCTACAGCTTTGCCCGAGCATTCCCAGCCTCTCCTTCATCTTTGGGATTTACCCTGCTATCTACAGCACTGATCAGCAATGCCAGGGAGCATGGCAGGACCTTGTGACTCCTTGCCTATTGTGCCACAGCTCTGGGGATTTTGCTTGCCAGGGCAGCTGGATACAGAGACATCTCCAATGGGAGTGTTTAACAGCTCCTCACAACAGATATTGGAGGGTGCTTTAAACCCCAGGGCCATTATCTGAGCCTAATTTTCCGTTCCAGCCCCTAACATTTCAATTTCCCCCTTCACTGATCTCTGGCTTTAATGGCTCTCCCAAACTTTCCTCAAGTTGAGAAGTGCCCATTTGGTATCGTTCCTGCTGCATCCCACCAAAGCTTCATCTTCTTTCTTTTTCCTACCCCTTTCCCTTTTCTCATCCTTTTCACCTTGAAAACGCAGCCTCAATGTCCTCACTTCCCTGGGAATTGTGGCCCTGGCCCTGGCCCTGGCCCTGGCCCTGCGGGGGATGCTGCATTTCCCCTCTTGGCTCCCTCACAAGGGGCTGCAGCTGGACCCTGGGAAGGAATTTCATGGAGCTTGGGAACCTTCGCTTCCCCTTTTCTTTCATCTCTTTGCACGCCAGGCTGGAGCTGACACTCCAAATCTCTCTGGCGGGACCGAGGGCGGCGCTTGGCCGCCAAACCGCTCCAAATCCATTCAGTGGGGCCCAGCAACACTCGGTGGTCTCCAGTGGCTCGGGGGGCTCTTGTCCCCCTGCTTTGTCTGCTCTGTCCATGTGCCCAGGGCTCTTGGCTGGCTGCCACTGTCCGGTCTCTTCCCAGCCCCCTGGGGATAGGATGCTGTGGGGCTTTGTCAGCTGCTGCTTGGTGTCACTCAGCTGCCACTGCCTTTGTCCCTGCCAGCAGGCTGTCTCCCCGGAGAAGGGCTTGCTCACCCACTCCCAGTCTGCTTGGCACTAAGCAGTGCTGTGGGCTCTGGAGAGAGTTTTCTTGGGCTCTTGGCTGCTTCTTCCCCCAGTTGTTCCTCAGGCAGAGCCGGCTCTGGGATGTGAGCACAGCTCAGCACTGCTCTGCCCTCCCCTCTGCTCAAGGAGAGGTGACCTCAGTGCCTTTGGGAGTCAATTATTCAAAGCCAGACAATTCTAAAACCTGCCAACACTCAGGGAAAGGTTTTTATTGGCATTTAAGCTATTAGTCCTGCCACCTGGTTTTCAGCCACGCTTCCTGCCAGACTTGGAAAAAACTGGTGGGACAAGGGACACTGAGACAGTTTCTGCACAGGTGATGTGGGACACACAGGCACAGCAGAGCTCCATTATGCCAGTGTCTGCCCAGGAGGGACAGATTTTGTAGGCTCCTGTCTCCTTAACCCCTGGGAGAATGTCAGGGCAAATATACCAGCCAAACCATTAACAGCATCTATGGATGCAGAATGGTTTTGGCCAAGAGGCTCTTGGGGCTGATTGAAAGAAAATTGGTGAATGTGGGGCTTTTTCTCTCCCAGGGGCTGTGCACGGCTAAGTGCTCTGACAGACAGCTTTATGGACTGTTACATGGATATGGCTCTTCCCATGGCTTCACAGACCCATTTCACAAATGGTGCTGGCTGCAATCCACTGATCTGTGCCGAGCTGCTGGTTGGGACATCGCCGTGGAGGCTGAAGCGACGAGAAGGAAAACACGGATGAGAAGTAGATGGGGAAAAACAAATGTCAAGCTGTGCTTTTTATAGTGCGAGGGCAGAGTACTGGCTGGGCTCTTAAGAAGAGAAGGATGTGCTAGTAATTGGAAAGGCGCTGGGGGGAGGGTGGCAGCCCGGCTCCTGTACCTGCAAGCACTCAGGACCAGCCCTGGGCTGGGATGCTGCACTCTGACTGCTCACATTGAGCCTGACTGAGACCAAAGGCACTGTGTCCCTCCCAGTGCAACCTAGGCATGGGCCAGTCCTGAGCACCCCAGCCATGGAGCCTGCAAGGTTAGAGAGAGGAGACTCAGAGGAAAGGACTGAGCTGGATCCCCATTTTCAGGCAGGGTTGGCCCCATGACACCACAAGCAGAACAGTCCTCTGGGTTAGCAGAGAGCTTGGAAACACTGGCAGCCAAAGGCTGCATTGGTGTTGCTTAACTCTGGCTTTTTCTGGGAAACTAAACCCCCAAGGCCACATGTGGCCATACCTGCTAGTGCTGCCCATTGCACACATCAGGCGATGTGCTCCTGCCAGTGAATCCTGTGATCTATTCCTAAACACTGTGTTATTGAAGGCCAGAATGAGTATCAGGCAGAGAAATCAAGTGTTCCCTGATCTAAGCCGACTGGAATCAATTGCTGCAGGGGAAAAGTGCGGTCAGCCACCTCGGAGCCCTCTGACAGGTCAATAAATACACCTGAGAGGACACGCTTGCCTGCAGAGGTGGACGTGTTTCCCCCGGCATTGCTGCTTGAGTGATGCCCTGCTGTGCTCTGCTGCTGCTGACCTGGGTGTCACACGGACTTCACACTGGGATGTCACCTTGCCCCCAGGTGCCACCAGGGCTTTTGCTCCCACCCCTCCTGTGCTGGTCCTGCTGTGGCAGAGGTGAGGAGTTGCATCCCAGGACACTCACAACCAGCTCCCGCCTCCGTCCTCTGTGCCAGGCACAGCACTTATTCATGCTTGAAAATTTGCAAGGGAAAGATAATAACCCCCCCAAGAAACCCTGTCCTGGTTTTGGCCTGGCAAGGAGCTAAGATAAATGTCAGTTTTCAGTTAAAATCATACTCGGAAGATGAGCAGAACAATGGTGATTTAATTCTGCTACGTTTATTAAACACATAGAGACATGTCAGTGCTGGCAGAGCCAAGCAGGTCCCACAGCCCTGGGGCTCAGTCCCTACCAGCATCAGAAATACCCAGGATTAGATCAAATACAAGCCTGACATTTGAAACCTAGGAACTGCATCCACATGCACTTCCTGAGTCCTTAAGAGAAGTCCCACTGGAAAGCCAGTCCACAGCACAAGTCATGGGCAGCCATCTCCCTGCCCATCCCCGGTGGAGATGGTGGGCTGAGCCCACTCTGGACTGAGCCCCCCATGGACAAGCCCCACCACAGACTGAGCCCACCATGGGCTGTGCCTACATGTGCCATGCAGGTCTCCTCCACTGCAGCATCCTCATGGCTCTCCTCTCCAAGCCCTCCTGCCATAACTCATCTCTGCTGAGAGGCGTCGCTGCCTCGAACTGCTTATTAGCACAAATTGCCTGGCAGAAACAAACTGCTCTCTCAGCGCTCGTCATTCACCGGGCGCGCGCGGCCAAAGCGCGGCGATGGGGCCGGGCACATCGACAGCTTGCTCTGCTGCAGGGCACCGTGGGGCTCAGCACGACCCACGGGCTGCTCCAGCGATGACAGCAGTGACAAACCCTTGGTTCTGCAACAGAACTTACTGATGGGTCAGTTAATTCCAACTCTAGTAAGAGGTTTTGTTAGATGTGCTTGGGCCATGCTGTTTGCCGGGAGCTGGACGTGTGCTGGGGGCTGGTACCTGTCTGGGGAGGGGGAAGCAGGGAGTAGGGATGAGCTGCTGGGAAACCTTATCCATCACTGTTCCCTCTGCTCTACTGCAGAGCCACTCTGCCTACATGAGGCACCTACATGTGGTCCCTCATTCCTGTCCCCCATCCCCTTGGGGACCTAAGGACACTCAGAGGGGTACACAGCATGGAGATCTTGGCTGTGAAACTTATCAGCTGGGATGATGTACTTACACTTTTAATAAGAAATAGCACTTGATATAGAACTGTTCCAGCATTTATTGAACCGAAGTGCCTTCCGCTGCCTCAGTGCAGAGCCCTGAAGCCTGTCCTGGATGATTTAAGAATGATCCATCTGGAAAATGATGCAGACAATTTGTTACATCCAGCCAGAGAGCCATAGAAACCACCATAACAAGCTTAAATGATTCCAGCATCACTACATCATCCAGCCCCAGCCAATCTTCCTCAGAGCCACCACTGAGCTGGGGTTGCCCATCCTGCATGGCTCCCCTTCCTAAAGCTGATGCTGCTCCTGCAGCCCGTCCTGGTGCTGAATCCAGGCTTCTAGTCAATGCTTAATGGGACATGGGGACCCCTTTTCACCTTTCCACTGCTTGTCTCACCCTCTCAAATCCCTATTTTAAGACAAGAAGCTCCAAGCAGCTCACAAACCCTCCTGGTGGGCTCCTCTGGCTGCCAGCAGCATGGGTGCCTGTTGATGGTTACTACCTCGCCCTGGGTAAATCAGGGCTTCAGTTTTCAAAATAGCGTGTTGATTGAAGCTTAAAATATCCCCAGCAATTACTTCGCCCCGGTATAATTATAATAATTAAACTTGGATAATGCTTAGTCCTACTTTTTATCAGAACTCTGTGCTGCGGCACCAGTGTGTGGTGTTTTGTTTCCAGCCTCATTTTCCAGCCTCACCCCGCCGAGCAGTGCTGGAAGGGACATGAGCTGGCAGTCTCCAGTGCTGACAAGGGGACGGTGACCCTGTCACGGTCCCTCCAGCTCTGGGGACCACTCATGGCACTGTTTAACCCAGGGCATTGTGTCTGGTGGCCGTGCTCTGGCCCTTGCTGCACAGCAGGATGAGCAGCAGGAGGGGGTGCTCCCAGCTCCATGCTGGGGCAATGGGTGCTGGAGGGAGTAGGGATGCTGGTTCTTCCCCTTGGCTGCTTGCCTTGTCCCACCCCAATCCCTCTCCCACAGCTCAGCACAATATTTCTCCTCCACGCTCCCAGCAGCGACACTTGGAACAGCTCAGGCTGGTGAGTATGTTTCCGGCTGTGATAAATAGCAGGGAAAGGAATGAGAGCCTAACACTGTATTTCATGCCCTGAAATCCCACTTGCATCTGGAAATGAACAGAGTTCTCCGGCTGATATATGCAGCTCTGAGGCCATTCGCATCCTGTTCGCTTGTACACATTGTCTCAGTGATTTAAGCTGGCAATTTGGCCCTAAAATGAAGAGCAGCTCACTTTGTCCCTCCCCATTTTTCTATATATTTTCCTGCAGAATGGAGCTTTTGGAGATTTGGCTGGGCTGGGCATCATCTCTGGTCTCGGTTTTGTGCTGGCCTGGCACGGAGAATTGTGGAGGGTCCTGGCACTGTGGGAAGGCTGCTGCCACAGGCTGGGAATGCAAGTGGCAGGTGGCTGTGCTGGTCTCTGCTTTCCCAGGCCATCCCTCTTCAAAGCCAACATGGACACCATTGAAGGCTTTTCCCCCTTTCCAGGTCACGGTGCATTGTGAGGATGACAGCCGTGCTATCCCACAGTGTCCTGGGGAAGGGGGATGGCGGCTGTGGGAGCTGTCCTGCTGCCTGGCAAGGGCCCTCCTTGTGCTGCATAGTCCCCACATCTCTCTGTCCATCTCTCTGTCCACATCTCTCTGTCCATCTCTCTGTCCATCTCTCTGTCCATCCCTCTGTCCATCTCTCTGTCCATCTGTTGAGCAGCACAGCAGCAGGGCCAGCCTGAGTGTGATCCATCGTCACCCACTCCACACACAAAGTGCAAACCAGAGCCACCACTTACCAGGGGCCTGCTCATGACCAGGACTCCTCCTTGGGTAAAAGATGTAGCTGGGTGAAGTGATTTCATAGCAGAACTGTTCTTTAAGGCATGATTAGTGATGTTTAATTAACTCCCCAACAGCCCTATTCTATGGCTTCCTTCTTCCAAGCAGCTGTCCCAAGGCACACGGGGTCCCCTCAAAGTCCTGGGGGACACCGGGTGAGCCTGGGGACCTGGCACCCTCCTGCCTGTGCCACAGGGCGTGGAGGTGGTGCTGCTGTGGCGGGGACTCCAAGGGGATGCACAAGACCCTCTTCCCAGGACAAAGGCAGAGCTATTTCCCTGCTGCTCACCCGAGGTGTGCACAGCTGGGAACAGGGGGATTTCTCCAGGGAAGCTCTGGACTCCTTGCTGAGACATGGATCCTCTGGACACCAAACCAACGCTGTCCCCTCCCCAGGGACCGTGGCCGCGCGCGGAGGAACCCAGTCACCACCGGCTGCGCGGTTCTCATATCAGTTTTAATAGCAACATCAGAGTACTAAATATACAGAGGGCAAGGGGACAGGGTGGCATTTACAGTGCTTCCAAATACACGGCTTCCACGGACAGAGACAAATTAAAAACCGCTCGGGAAGAAAAGGTCCTTTTGGCACTGCCCCAGCTCGCGCTGTGGGCGGGTGGGGCAGCCACAATGCCAAAAGGCGACGGCGCTTCCATTGGATGCCTCCTGGTGCAGGATTTTCCCAGGAAAAGAAAGAAGTACTCAGTGATGTAAAACCGGTTACAAAGTAAAACTGTCTCATGTTAGAAAACGGGTTTTGGCAAAATAAAAATAAAGTGTAAACTTCACTGTACATGTCCTATCAAACAAAAAAATAAACCCCTTGGAACCTAAAATAGAAGAATCTGGGTCAGAAATCTGTGCCCTTAGTGTATATTTTTGTGCAACATATACTTTTTTCAAAGTAAATATTATCTCCACTTGTGACACTATTAAAAATGTACCTACAAATGTTGAGAGTAATTCTTAAAAATGTGTGAGAAGCGTTAGATGAGCTCGGGAGACCAAACCCACAGACTTGGAAATGGCAAGGGATTTCTTGCTGGTTTTGAAAAGATTGCGTACAGATTTAATATCTGGTTGAATGAAAATTCCAACCACATTCATCCTGAAATGGGCGGGCTGAGATAGGATAGATATATTTTTGTTCTATTTTATTTTTTAATTTTTTTTTTTACAAAATATATATTATGTGTAGAATATCTACTATTTAACTACCGTTTCAGCTGAACTACCTTCCTTCGCAACAAGCTGCCAGTGGAGAAGAGGTAACCTGAAATCTGTCCCCGCGCTGGCTCTGCCATCGCTACGGTGACCTCCTGGCAGGCTCGGTGCCCTTGACCCCACGGAACTCTGGAGCCCCATGGAGCACTGCTGTTCTCTGGAGCACGGCTCCTGCCACCACCACCGGCCGCCCTTTCTCCAGCTGGGAAGACAGAGTGAAGGTAAACGATCGGATCTGGAGAGACGGGCGGCTGCCCAGGACCGGCTCTGCCCGGGGTGCTGTGGGGTGAAGCCGCCCTCGGGGGACCCCGGCTTCCAAAAGTCAGGGGATTGAGGACCAAACCCTGCCTGCCCTACCTGTTGGTGCCATGACATGAGAGCTCGGACCTGGAGCCCCAAACCAGCTCAGTTTGGGGCAGGATAGAGCACACTGGTGCTTTGACTCCCTGGCCCGGTGGGAGTGGCACATCCTGTGGCTCCTGCTCAGGGTTTGCAAGAAATATGGAGGGAAGAGAATCCCAGACAACCCTGGGAAGACTGGGCTTGCTGCAGGGCCCAAGGAAAGGCAACCTCTCCTTGCCATGGGTGGCTTGCCCGACACCACTTTCTCTAAGACAGAGCCACAAGTGACACACAGACACTCCATGACATGTCTGGGGAATGTGGCAGCCTCTTGGCTGCCATGGTGTGTTTCTCAGCGACTATTCAGGGGCTAAGGAATCTGGAAAATGAACTGAAAGGAAACAAGCAGCAGTGGGCTGAGGGCTTACAGCAAAGCAAGGAACAAAACTTTTCTTTTTTCAAGCTTCCAGGACCTCAGGGTGAGATGATGTGCCCAAAACATGACAAAGCTCCCACAGGAGCGTGTCTGAGAACACCATGCTTCCCTGCTTTTCCACGGTGGGAAGATCTACTCAATAGACTATGCCATGGAAATGTGACTTTCTATTTTCATTTCTTTCTTGTTTTTTGGCTTTCATCAATAGGAGGGAATGAAATCACCACAGCTCATTTCTCTTCACTGTGCAAGACCTTGGCATGCCTGGATCCTGCCTTGTACATCACTGCATCAGTGGCTCCATCCCAGCCCTTCCTCCTTCTCCTCTCCCTCCACCACAGTGGCCCAGCATGGATGGGGGGAGGTTTCCTCTGATAAAGTGCAAGTGCTGTTGGTCCTTATAAATAAGGGAAGATTGTGCATCTACTTTTGTTCCCTGGTTCACCGCTCAGCTCCGGGGAGACCAGGACATGTCCTGCTGCAGACTGGGGGGGAAGCTCATGCAAGTCCTGCCCTCTGGAACCTGTGTCCATCCTTGGGGTCACAGTGATTCACCTTCCTTCTCTCTCTCTCTCTCTCTCACACACACACACACACACACACACGCACACACACACACTCACATGCTTTCTCCTCCTCTTCCCCAGCTCCACAGGGAATTTCCTGCGAGCCAGGTGCCTCTCCATCACCACAGCCATCATCACCACGGCTTGCACCAGTGCTGCCTGTGCTGCCCTGGCATCTCCCAGCTCTGCCTGACAACTTCTCTGTGGGCAGCAGGTTCCATCCATGCAGAAACACAGAAAGCTGCTTCAGATGCCCTGCAATGAGGGAGCTGAGATATGTTTCTTGTCATACTGCTACCATGATTACACTGGAATACCTGTGGGAATTAAATAAATAGGAAGATTAAGGGGAGAAGCACAAGGAACATGGCTCAAAGCTGGCACAGATGGATTCCCATGAAGTCACAAAGGGAGGAGAGCCTGTGGGCAGGGGCTGACACCAGTGTCACAGGAAACACTGAGATGACCCTGGAGCAGTTGCTCAGACTTCATGCTTCCCAAGGACAGATACTCCCCATGTTTGCCATGGACAGCTAAAGCTTTGGGGGCCACTGCTCTAGCAGGACACTGTCCCCTCTCCCCCCTGGAGGCATCCAATGCTCTGGAGAGCCAGACATGAGCCACCCAGGAGATGCTGCTCTGCCCAGGGGATGGTTGGCTCAAGTCCGCAGGTAATTGTCAGGGCTGGCAAGGAAGACTTCTGTCTGAGGCAGCGTCCAAAAATTCAGGACAAATAATCCAGACTGTGCAATTCCATGGGAAAAGGACAGAAAAGGACACGGGAACAAGAGACCACACGCGTGGCTATGCGCAACACCACAGGGTTCTACTTTTTTTTTTTTTTAAAACTGCACGTTCATTATCATAAAGAAAAGGAGCTGAGTAATCAGTGGGGGAGTAGAAACGTGGATCTGGACAATTCTAAAAAACCACTAGTATTTACCAAGGGCAGTTTACAAAAAGAACTGGAGGACTTTGGTCTGATCTCTGCTGTCGTTTCCACCCATTTAACATTGAAGGGACCCGAGCAAGACACATCGCAGTGTCTGATGTGCAGCACAGCATGGCAGCACCCCACTCCATGGAAAGACTTGGACAGAGGGTTTAGGGTCAGCACCCACAAACACCATCCACCCCAGCAGGAGCTGGACGGGCATAGACGTGTTTCTAGCGCAACACACCAAACTGGAGCCTGCAGAATCGTGCTTCCCTGGCAAAAATTCCCTTTAAACACTATGAAGAGATCTCCAGGATTGTGGACAGCTGGCTGTGTCTTCTCCTGCTGCAGCAGAGCCAGCCAAGACAAGAACAAAGGAAGAGGCTCTCTCAATCCCACAGCCCCAGGCTAGGGCAGGGGGCAACCAGCTCCTTCCTCTTGTATCTCTCACAGGGCTGAGTAAGCTTTGGTGCTGTGGCCGATTTAGAAGCCATTTTCCAAAAGCCTTCCCATACCCCGCTCCTAAAATTTTTCTTCTGTGCCAAGAGAGGCCCATCTTTTGGAAGTCCACCCCTAAAATCTGCCCCGTCCAGCCCCGAGGTATCATGCCTAGCAAGGTGGAGTTCACAGCTCTGTGGACACGGGGCAGGCCCAGGCTTTACGGCTTCTTCCCATCGACCTTGATGGTGTATTGGGATACAGAAGCCTGGAAATACCCCCAGCACTGCCTTGAGCTGTGCTCTGGATGGTTTTGGGAAGCTTTTTCTCTGCTTCCCACTGGCAGCACAGCCCCAGCTGTCTCCCACCACGGTCACGTCGCGACGCTGGAGAAGCATTTCCAAAAAGAACCAAAATTATATATATATATGTATACATACATATATATGTCTATACATACACACACACACGTATATATATGTATATATGTCTACCTATATATACACATATAGGTTGACAGGCAAGCTGCCAAAGTAGAAAACATCAGATCACCCAGTTTGCATGATGCGTGTTAAAGAAATGAGACTTTTAGCCCATGACATCTTCTTTAAAAATGAGTATTTAAGATCTTCAAAAATTGCTACAGTACAAAAAGTGTTTGTGTGTGTATATATATATATATTTTCTCTCTACATATACCATATGTACGCGTATGGACCGGAATGGATGACCCCACCAGAAGAGATGCCCCACTCGTCCTCCACAACATTTCCAGGAGTTATTGACTCGGCTCTTTGCAAAGTCTTTGCATCGGTTCATGGCACATAATGGTATTATTGGCACAGGTTCAGAGTCACCGTCCATGGCCGGGCTCCAGGCGCTCATCCTTCCCCTTTCCATCCCTTGCTGGTTCCTCCTCCTCCTCCACGGGATTCTTTGCTTGCACACTTTCCTTTCTCTCCTCTCAAAAACGTGCTCCTTGACAACGCAGTTACCTATAGGCGTGTTCATTTTTATAAAAATATATTTGGCCCATAGAACGCTGCTCTTTGAGTCTCCTACTGGTAAACAGAAATGGTAGGTACAGGTAACCCATTATTTTTTTATATTTTTTACAGGTTCACCAATGGAATCCTGTTGAGGACGAGAAGAAAAAGAAAGATTAAGTCATGACAGGGAATTTGCACTGCATCACTGCTTGGATGATCCCCCACAGCCTGGAGGTTTCCTCCTCCTTCCCCTCGGCTGTGGAGCTGTGGGATTCCTGGGGGAACAGAGCATGGAGGGAGCAGGGTATCAATGACCTCTTCCTCCTCCACAGCTGCTGGTCTGTGCTGGGGATTGGGATCACTACTTCCCTCTCCTTGGGGCCTTTTCCAGATGGGATCATCCCTGTGTTCTGCAGCTTCTCACACTCGGGCCTCAAGCAGCGAGTGCTCTGGCAGATGAGCAGATGATGACAAGCACTAACAAGATTTTCTAAAGTTAAATCTAAAGAATCAATAGGGAATTGGTTAAGCACCAAACCAGAGATCCTATCAAAGTCCTTAAGCTATTTATTTACCATCTACTGGAAAATGTCTCCCTATGCAATCTTGGACTCTCAATGTGAAGACAATCACTCCCCATCATTGGCATGTGGCCACTTGCTCTACATGTCCGTGAGCTGTAGCACAGCTGGGTGTGCCAAAGACAGCTGCCAGCAGGTACCTACACCCTACACAGCAGTGCTCAGATACACATTCCTAATCCACACATCCCTAATCTGTGCCCTCTGCCTGGCTGGGATCAACATCCAGAACATGGTGTGCTTTTTGTCCCATGGTTCTTTCTCTAAAAACCCGCTATTTTTAAGCAAGATGCCCAATACACTATCTCCAAGAACAACCCTGATGTCTTAATTAGCGAGACAGATTTTCCAGAGTCCTTAATCTCCTGTGCTGGGGCTGTGCTGGGACTGCTGCTACTCCTCCGAAGACAAGGCGGGATCTTTTATGATGACTCATTATCTGTTAATGTTAACACAAACCATTTGCTGTTGTTAGGCAGAACGCGGCCAGCACAGCAGCTGCTGCCGTGTTTGAGCGCGGCATCACCGCACAACGCCGTCAGCTCTCACCGCCCTATGCCAGGGCAGGGTCAGGCTGGTGCCACCGAGCCAGGCACAGCTGCTGGGCCCCAAACTGTCCCCTCCCTGCCAGCGGTGCCGAGCGTCCCGTGGCTCTGGGTGAGCGCTGGTTAACGCACCGTGGCAGGATGTACAATTGGTATTGTATCCCAAATAGCCTCTTTGTGCAAAGTAGGTCAGCGCTTGATCAACCTTACAGATTTTTGTATAATCTCATTCCATGGGGTTTTTCAGTCAAAGAGAGTGGGATTAAGGACAAGAATAATGCAGAATCTCGAACTTCATTTCAGAAAGCCCCAAAGCCAGGATGAAATCAAGCCAAACCAGCCACCCTGTGCTGTGGTGCCACTCAAGTCTTTGGCACACGTCCTGTGCTGGTCTGCAGAGCGGCAGTGCTCCTGCCTCTTTCTGGGTGCTCCTCTGGCACTTCTGGCACCAGGCAAGAGAAGTGTTCCTTTTCATCCCTCACTCAGGTGACTCAGAACTCCTGAGAGCTTCCACTGACTGTTTCACTCCTCACCTACCCAGCCCAGGGCCACACTGAGGCTGCACTGCTACACCGGGCTGCCGCAGACAGACAGACTTCTCTGCCTGCAGGAGAGCTGCCAGCAGCCGCTGCTGAGGTGTGACATCCACCGAGGTGTGACATCTACCAAGGAGCTGATGCTCCAGTGGGGCCCAGCACCGGCACAGGCAATCTGCTGGAAAGCTCCACCAGCTGCTTGCCATGGGCAGCATCACCTGCTGTGGGGAGGGACAGTGTCCTGGTGGGGACCACACCTGCAGCACAGGAACTCTCCCCATGGCTCCTGCTAGCACAGGAGGAATCTGACCCCAGGAAATAGCTTCAGCATCTGCTCCCCGTATATCTAGATGAGTTTCACCAGGTTTCCTGACACAACTGCAGTGCTGCCTGCAGCTCTCTGGGCTGGAGATGCTCTGCGGTGCTGTCCTTTATACCTGCTGCCTCAACTGCTCAGCCCAGACTGTGGAGGCTATTGGCATCACCCAAGGCCTGGGTGCCAGCTGGGCAGCACTGTGGTCAGTCTTCACACCAGGCTGATGGACTGTCAAGTTCATATTAAATTCCACCTTGGTTCTCTGTGGTCATCTCAACAAAACACCTGCAGCACCTCTGTTGTGCTATTCCTGTCCTGGGACATGCCACCTGCCTGGTGCCTCCAGCTCTGGCCCCACACCATCAAGAGCATTAGTGTGCCAACGAGACAGCTCAGAGCTGTGAAGTACTGTCAATTAAAATTTGTAAAACACTAGGAGAAAGGGGCTGTGAGGAGAAAGCTGCATGTAGCCCCTCCAGCCAAAAAGCTGCACATGCTCCAGAGCATCCCTCTCCTCTGCTGTAGTGCAGTGGGTCAACAGCAACTGTCCCCTTCAGGTGACCTTGCTGTGGCTGTGGATGCCAGCCAGGAAACACTCATTTCCCCGGAAGCGTTGCAGCCCTAGCAGCTGCATCTCCTTTTCCACCAGCCTCTCCCCTAGCCACAAGAGCTGGAGAGGCATCCTCCATGCCTCCACTCCTCTGCTTCCCTCCATCCCACTTCTCCTCTGGCACTTGGCAGCTGGTGACAGCACAAGGCAACCACGGTGGCAGGGACAGCCTAGCAGGGAGCTCATCTCAATGCCATCTGCACCTTCCACAGTGACACATGAAACTTGGAATGCTCATTTCACCTGAGGGATTTCCCGTCGGCACCTGGTTTCCACTGGGACACCACCACTTATGCAAGTGTGTCCCAGAAACACCCTGGTGCAAACACACCTATGCAGAGTGAACATGCAGAGAACAGGTAGAACAGCTTTGGGATCAATCTCATTTTGTTATCGTTAATGAAACCAAACAGCAGCTTCCAGAATTGCATCTGTAATTGAAGTGCCATTACAGAGCTAATGCTCCAGGTACGAGCTGGATAGATTTTTCCAGAGCGCATCAATGTGCATTTTATGGATTCCATGAAAACGGGTCAATGAGAATTTCAAGGATTTAATAAGGCGTAATGGAACGGCTTCAGGCTATTTAAAGAAATCTATGGAGGTGACCAGGGCACAGTCTTTCGCCCAGGGTTTCACAGGACCTGGGGCAGGAACAGTGGGATCCATGCAGGATTCCTACAATGCTTCAAGCTGCTCCTTCCTTCCCCCTTCCTGAGGAATGGAGAGCTGTAGATGGCATTGAGTGTAGCTGGCTTGCTTTATTTGTTATTTATTTTTCATTCACTTTAAGCCAATGGAAAGACATCCCAAACTACAAAACTGAGGGTGGAAAAAGCTCCATGGGCTATTGCTGAGGGTGGTGTTCCCTGCAAATCCTCCATGATCATTCTCCTGCCTGTGTTCCTTTGCCCTCTGTCTCCTGAAACAGTGGTCACAACAATAGAGTGAGAGAAAAAACATGAGGCTATCAGTGGATGGGGAGTGAGAGCCTTTCACCTTCACCAGTGAATCTGCTGCAGCCAGAAGAGGCTCTGGGGGGGCAGTGGGGACATGCCAGATGAATCCCTGCTCTCTTCCCCACTGCACTGGCACACACCTCACCTGCCCTGTCTAGACACCACCGGCCCCAGCACGGCTGAGACCATTAACTTTTTATTCCCTTCCATTCTAATCTAATTATATTTCTGTGTTCAATAGCTGTGCATAATGTTAAACAGGCTATTCCAAGTGAGCTGCAGCCAGGGAAGGCTGGAAATTTCATTTACACTGAATATATGATTCATTACAGCAGGGACTTGGGACAGAGCAATTAATTCACCTGAGCACGTGCCTCGAGCGGGCACCGCTGCCCAGGATGAGCTGGCACACGCAGACTTTTCCTGCCACTGCTATCAGCTGTACCACCTTCAAAAGCAACACAAGCAGGTGGAAATGGCCATCTCAACAAAAGAGAAGAAAATCCCCAGATTGTACTCTTGCAACCAGACCATCACTGCACTCCTTCAGTCACAGCAGCAACCCAGGTGTGACCGGCTGCTGGGGACTGTGCTCGAAGGGTTGGCTTTGCAGAGCAGCAGCAGGAGAAGGAGGGGAGGGGGGGGAGGAGGAG